AAATTTGTTCATATTAATTCTCTAATTAGCATAATAATTCATAATTTTTTTGTTCTGTTCTGTTCATATTATTTACCTGATTTACATAATTAGTTTTCAGCTTTTCCATCAATATCTCATGTACAAGTAATTTTTAATGTGTCTTCAATACTCTCAGCACACGGGAGTTCTTTCTAAGCTTTCTTTGATTTTTTTAGGGAATAAATGAATCTACTACAGACAATGAAGCACACTATTTGCACTATATTTGAATTTTTTTTTCCTCATATATAGGTGATTTTTAACTAATTAGTATTCCTATTCCAACATGTATTTTTACAACAAGTGAAACTAAATAAGTTTACACAGTGGCTTACATACTGTGTAATACTTTATTTTCGCTGGAATTAATTTTCGCTGAAAAGGCTTTTTGGGCGTTTTGCTTGGAATTTATTTTCACTGATTTTTGATGAGTTTAATGTGAAATATAGGAAAACAAGTATATTCGCTGGATTTTATTTTCACGGAATCATCCCTTCAGCGAAAATAAAGTATTCTACAGTAATTTATAGGCTGCTCTGCTCCTGTTTATACTTTTTCTAATGGCGAATAAATATTAGATTACTATCAATTTTGGCACCAATGGCTTATGGCAGTAAATTATTCAGAGAAATCAGATTAAAAACAAAACAAAATAGTAAATGGAATATCAAGAAAATATATTTGTTAGTGTAAGTTATAGTAAGATCTATTACGTTATAATAAGACCCTTTGAGTGCAAGTTTGTTTTTTCCCAACGAGGGTAAATTTCACTGAATTCAATTTTAATTTTGGAGCAAACAGACAAAATGGTTCTAGTTTTTGATACAAAATATCTTGAAATTTTCATCAACATTTTCTGTGGAAAAGAGGAGATTATAAATGGAACTTTTATTTATGAATGGTGCCTAAAGTTGACTTTGGCGCTCAGAGTTTTAAAATGTTAGTGTTTTTCAATTGATCAAACAAGTATTAATAATCATGACAAAAACTACAGAATCATTCATATAAGTAATTCCTAATTGTAAGTGAATAGTTGTTTGGTCTGTTCATTAAAAGTCTGCAAAAAAAAAGTGTCCTTCATGTTGCCGTTATTTCACTGCTATTTTGTTGTTATATATCATAGAAACTGAGGAAGGGTTTATTAATATTATTACAAAACCCAAACAAATGGATATGATGTATGACGATGTGGAAGCAGATGATAGGGGTAGTACAGAGAGAATGCACTTTGTTCTCGGTGAAGTTGAAACAAGCTGCCAGGATTCTCCCGATGGAGTTGATCATACTGTTCCTTTATTCAGAAGTTTAAGACACATGCGAGAGGTATGTTGTCATCTTCTTGTATTATATAAAACTGTTAAATTTTCTTCCCCCAAAAGGTTTCCTATTTGTGTTTGCAAGACCAAACTTTCAGTTCTTGCTTGAAGCAATATTTGAAGATATCATCATTGTTTTGAATAATTATTTGTAATTTTTAATGAAAAATTATATGACATTTGCATAATAATTAAGGATTTTTAGCTGTTCCTTTGATATTTCAAGAACCCGTCCACAAATTTCAATGAAAGTGCACTGGGATACTCCACAGATCAGATTGTGATGCAATCTATGCATAATAAAGTAATTTGCATATATTTACCAATTTTAGCTGTTTTACATCTATCTGTTCGGATTTCTTTAGACGCTCAGGGATAATCCACTGACCTGACCGTTTCTTAGTTGAAACATTAGCATATTAATTACCTATTTTGCTTAAAAATTAGCTAGTTTTTAGCAGTTCCACTGATATTTCGATGAAACTGCGTTAATTGCTATGCATACTACTTACTTACTTGATTTGCATTAATAATAATTAGTCATTTTTCAATTGTTATATTGCCTCTATAGTTTTTTGTTATTATTGAATTCTATATCTTGCTTACCCACAGTGCATCCCAAAAATTAAATATTTTTGAAATATTTCCAGTCTTCATTTGTTTTCTATACACATGACTTTCTTTGATTGTAATTGTTTTATTTCACTTTTCTCTTTTGCATTGTGTAAAAATGCATCCTAACTAACAAAAATTCACAACCACACCTTTAACCGTTGAATCTTTTGTTTTTAATATAATTGTGTTATTTCAACTTTTTACTGCTCCATTGTGTAAAAATGCATCCAAACTTTGTTTTATGTTAAAAACAAAATTCACTCTAACAACCACACCTTCAACCGTTGAATCTTTTGTTTTCAATATAATTGTGTTATTTCAACTTTTTACTGCCCCATTGTATGAAAATGCATCCTAACTTGACTGTCTTGTTTCTATTTGTCTAGCCAAGCTCCCGCTGTGTCGATCTGTTTGCTTTTAACTCTTTGAGCGCCATTGATGGCTTTTTGCACCATTTACAAAATTATTTTATACAGTCTTCTTCCCTTCACACTTCAAAGTTAATAAAAATTAACAAATCTTTTGATCAAAAACTAAAAGCAATACCTGAATTTGTCTGTATAGTCTAAAATAATGATAACATTTAGTGAGAATTTACAAAATGTGAAAATATTTGCACCAAATTTTGAGCGGATAAATATCTGGATCTCAAAGGGTTAGAGTTCTATTATCGGCTAAATTATTTGAAAGTCATGAACCAAAATCAGTTGTTACTTGATCAGTTTCATCACAAATTTGGGAAGCGACATCACTAACTTTAATAAATAATGACATCAC